CACATCTACCGAGGGCCACCGCCAGTCCACAACAGTTACTACGAGACAGTAGTCTGCCAACCCTATCTCATGTAACCTTTTTTTCACCGCTGGTGCCTGCTCGCTTTGCTGGTGGAGCACATGAAAATGTCGAAGACTGGCTTTATCACTATGAACGTGTCGCCAACACCAACCAGTGGTCTCTTGAACAAAGGCTTTCCCGCGCCTATTTCTATCTCGACGACAGTGCTCGTAGTTGGTACGAGAACAAAGAAGGCAGTTTGTCAACATGGAGTGACTTTAAAAGAGGGATGATTGACACATTTGCCAATGTCGACCGGCGAGAACGTGCGCAACATTTACTGGAGCTACGGGTTCAGAAACCCAATGAAACGGTTGCAATGTTCGCTGAGGACATGGCCCGTCTCTTCCGTAAAGCTTACCCACACATGACCGACAACAAAAAGTTACGCTACCTCATGCGTGGTGTTAAAGAGCAATGGTTCGCCGGGCTTTTGCGGAACCTGCCAAGCACCGAGACAGACTTCATCAAAGAAGCTACGGCTATCGAGTGGGCGCTTCAACTACGATGCCGACAATACGATCGCTTGTCCAGCAGCACCCACATTCAACTCACCGCTACAGCATCTGATAATCAAAGGTTCCTACGCCATTTAATACGAAAGATTGTTCGCGAAGAGCTGCTGAAGCTGCGGACTCTGGTCACGAAACTACCCACGGCGTCTGTCGCTGAAGTCATCCACGAAGAAATGCGCCAAGCGTTTTCAGCAGCTGCTCCTACTCACGATCAGCGACCTATGAGCTACGCAGCCGCTCTTCGCCGCCCGCCGCCCGTTCCGCCGTCGTACCGCCAGCCATCGGCAGGCATTCCTTGGTCGCCACCGCAAGAACAGACACCGCGGTGCTCTGCCCTCGTGCTACCATACGAAATGCTGCCGTACGAAGAGCCGTCTCCTAACTAGACACGGCATTTGCAACATATAATTGCTACATATAATTGATGAAGATGTGGTCGTCCCGCCACAGTCATGCACTATTGTTTCAGTGGAAGGGCACGATGCGTTTGATGGTGAAGGCATTGCCGACCAAATTGGCTCGCTGCTATTTAACCATGGCATTTCGGTCGCACGAGGTATCGTCCGTCCCACTGATGGGCGCACGAATTTACTTTTGACCAACTTCAGTACTGAGCGCCGGCACCTTCCGAAAGGCACAGCTATCGCTTCGTACGACAATATCGTATAAATGCGAGGCAGTTTATGTTTATCAGTATTAGACGAAGTGCCTGATCAAGAACCAGAACCCGTTCTCGACGTTGGCCCCACTCTGTCAAAGGATGACCGACAGAGACTTCTTCAGCTGCTAGCCGAATTCTGTGACTGCTTTTCATCAATCTGACGAGTTGGTCGAACACCTTTGACAAAGCATCGAATAATCGCCGAGGACACGGCGAGGCCTATTCACCAGAACCCTTATCGTGTAGCTTTAAAGGAACGCGAAGCCATACAACAACAAGTCGCGAAAATGCTCGAAGATGATGTAATTCAACCGTCACAGAGCCCCTGGGCATCGCCTGTAGTGCTAGTAAAGAAAAAGGACGTCACGCTGCCTTTTTGCGTGGACTACAGGAAGCTGAATCGTGGGACCAAAAAAGATGTGTACCCGCTCCCACGTATTGATGACTCCCTTGACAGACTTCGGCATGGTCGCTACTTTTCTTCCATAGACTTGAGGAGTGGATACTGGCAGATTGAGGTAGACCCAAGAGACCGAGATAAAACCACTTTTGCGACGCCAAATGGTTTATAGGAATTTAAAGTCTTGCCTTTAGGTTTGTGCTCCGCGCCCGCGACTTTTCAAAGGCTTATGGACACGGTACTTTCGGGATTGAAGTGGGAGACGTGCCTAGTATATCTGGACGACATTGTAGTGTTTTCAACCACTTTTGACGAGCATCTCAAAAGGCTGGAAGTTGTTTTACGTGCCATACGGTCTGCCGGCCTCACATTGAAACTAGAAAAGTGTCATTTCTGTTTCCACGAACTCAAGTTTCTCGGTGATGTCGTCAGTAACGCAGGCGTCCGGACCGATCCTGGAAAAATTGCCGCTGTCGCACGGTTCCCAGTACCCTCCAATAAGAAGGCTGTCAGACGCTTCCTGGGACTTTGTGCCTATTATCGTCGATTTATCGCAGACTTTTCCCGCATCGCGTCACCACCAATTCGTCTCACAAGAGACGTTGCCTTTGAGTGGAACGAAGAACAGGAGGCTGCCTTTAATGATCTACGTCAACGTCTTCAAATGCCCCCGGTGCTTGCCCAGTTCGACGAAGAAGCCCCGACGATCCTTCACAAAAACGCTAGCAATGTTGATCTGGGAGCTGTGCTTGTGCAGCAGCAAGAGGGCACAGAAAGGGTAATTACTTAGGCAAGCAGAACGTTAACACGCGCTGAGTCTTATTACTCTACAACTGAGAAGGAATGTCTCGCCGTGGTATGCGCGGTTTAAAAATTTCGCCCGTATTTATATGGCCGCCCCTTCAAGGTAATTAGCGACAACCACTCACTCTGCTGGTTAGCAAGTCTTAAAGACCCTATCAGGCGATTAGCGCGGTGGAGTCTCAGGCTGCAAGAATTCGATATGATAGTCGTACATAAGTCAGGCAAGCGACATATGGACGCTGACTGTCTGTCCCGTTCATCCATTGAGTCGGCAACCCTACCTGAAGAGGACGAAACGGCATTTCTCGGTGTCCTTGACACGACCGCCATTGCGCAGCAACAACGTGACGACGCTGAGTTGCTTGGCCTAATTAACTACTTGGATGGCAGATCTCAGAAGGCTACAAAATTTTCGCAAGAGTGTTGTCATCGTTTTGTTTACGGGACGGAGTACTCTACAAAAGAAAATTTCGCCGACGGGATCCGCCTATCTGCTCGTCATCCCAGCAGCCCTTCGTTCCGAAGTACTCAAAGCATGCCACAACGAGGTGAGCTCTGGCCATTTGGGTTACACGAGAACGTTGGCCAGAATACATCAAAGGTATTACTGGCCGAAACTAACCACAGCCGTGAAGCACCACGTCCGTACCTGTCTCGACTGCCAGCGACTCAAGTCACCACCGACTAAACCAGCTGGGCTCCTACTACCCGTACAGGTCCCAACAGCTCCATTCTACCAGATCAGCATGGACATTTTGGGCCCACTACCTACTTCTACAGCAGCGAACCGCTGGGTTGTCGTCACGACGGATTATCTGACCCGTTATGCCGAGACAAAGGCTACCAGAGAGGTACCAGAGAGGAGGATACCAGAGAGGAGGTGGCAAGATTTTTTATTAAGAACATTATAATGAGGCATGGTGCACCAACCGTCGTGATCATAGACAGAGGAGCCGCATTTATGGCAGCTTTTTTGGATCATGTCCTCGTGCTGAGTGGAACCGCGCATCGTAAGACCACCGCCTACCACCCACAAACGAACGGGCTCACAGAGCGTCTATACAAAACCATTGAAGACATGCTTTCGATGTACGTAGACGTTGAACACAAAAACTGGAATGAAATCTTGCCATACATAACGTTTGCGTACAATACGGCCAAGCAAGAAACGACCCGCCCGACCCCGTTCAGCCTCGTTCATGGACGAGAAGTACGAACTCTGTTAGATGCGATGCTACTGCACGAAGGTGACGACATCCACCCATACGCCAACACGTTTACGGAACGCGCGGAAGAAGCTAGGCAACTTGCACGGCATGGATATGGAGTGCTGCGACAACTGAGTGAGGTTGCTTACAAAGTTGTTCACGACAGTTCGTGTAGTACCAAGCGTCGCCAGCACCATCCTGAACTCGTTCACGTAGTGCGCATGAAGCCTTACGTCAGTGAGTGATAACGTGAGACTTCTCTTTAATAAAAAAACTACATTATTGACTTCACATCGGGACGATGCTGTTTGAGAGGGGGGCAAATGACCCGTGTCTGCGTGTGAACGACAACAATGATGTGGTGATTTAGCGGACACCAGGTAGTGGGCCTCTGGCTTGACTGGAGAACAAAGAAGACCATCTTGTGGCTCAGCTGTTGAAAACACGCTGCTTTCGCTGCCTCAAGGCGTACTTGTGCTTCGTTCGCATTGTACTGCGAACCTTCACTACGCTTCTCTTGTGTGTGTGTGTGTGTGTGTGTGTGTGTGTGTGTGTGTGTGCGTGTGCGTGTGCGTGCGTGTGCGTGTGTGTGTGTGTGTGTGTGCGTGTGCGTGTGCGTGTGCGTGTGCGTGTGCGTGTGCGTGTGCGTGTGCGTGCGCGTGCGCGTGCGTGTGCGTGTGCGTGTGCGTGTGTGTGTGTGTGTGTGTGAGAGAGGCGAATGAAATAATTAACTTCACTAAGGCGCAAGCTTTAGATGCCTTACGACGCAAAGACTGGCTGTTATGGGAACCAGAATCAGCACAAAGTTATGAGAAACAAAATCATGCTATGACACCATGATAGCACGTGATTGTTGCATGACAACAAAAAATGACGTCATCACACGAGATAGCCACATAGTAAAACATGGGCGGGTCTTGGATACGGTGCAGCAAAATCATGTGAGGAACAGAAAGCGTCAATGCCTCTGATCCTGGGGTCAGGGCGAGACCACGTAAGATGCACAATGTTATCGGGATGAGGAACCGCACTAAATGGACCGGTGACTAAGAAGCAAAATCAAAAAGATAGAAGATGCCTCATTTTGCCTTCAAATCGTGTTAGGCATATGCATCAAGAGCCTTGTAATTTTTTTCTTAGATCTCATTTCATGAAACTCCCTCGGCTAACTCGTATTGAATGTCGCAGATATTGCCACAAGTCTAAGTAGGATGAACAGTTAAAATACGAGTTTGGCAAAACTGACAACTGTGATGTGTCAGAAGTGAGAATTCAAGTCTTGCAACTCCTTTGAAGTACTAAAGTGGAGTTTTATCTTATGATAGAAAAAATAATAATGAAGAGTGCTTACCAGGAACTGGCCGGAAGTGCTGTTTTCGTACTTCGTGTATGGGTTCGACAACGTGGTGCGCTCGTCCATGTGCCGAATGTGACTCGTCGAGAAGCTGGCGAAGTCCACCAACCTTCGCCACAAATATGTGTCATTTCACTGTCAGATACACTTGTACCCAAATTGCTAAGTTTACAGCTAACCTTAATGCAGCATGACAATACACCATGAAGCACTAACTTTTTGAAAAGAGCGTTCGGCCTTGAAGAACGATTTTCCCAAACTTGTATTGCTTTCCAAGCTTGCACTACAAACAAAATCTTAACATGTACCAGTTCTTGAGCGGAAGTAGAAAATAATCACACGTAAATTAGCATTCTTCAAGGCTGTCCCAAACCAGTGTAGACTGTATTTACCATAAGACATCTGGGCGCCACCATCTTGGTCTGTTAAGCCGATGTTATCTTGTTTTTGTATATCGTGGCGTGATTGCATAAGGCCATAAAAAATTTTATGCACCAAGCCAACAGTTTTAATGCGTATGCGTCTACCATAACATTCTTTGTTTAGCTTTAGTTGCTAAAGTTTCTAAAGGCGAAGGTTAATAACTAAATATGGTAGCACTCAAAATGATGCATACCAAGTGATCGAATGATCTCAACGCTGGTGTTTCTCGCCTGTTTTTTTTTAGTAAAAGCTTTTTAGAATCTCTCAATTAGATGAAAAGTTCAGGTTGTGAAGCCCGCTATAAGCTAATTTTCTCCTCTCTCGTTCAGAGTAGTGTGCTAAAAGCTGAGCAAAGAGTGACGAAAAAAGGGGAAGGTACTACCTCACCAGGCGTCGTGAAACGCGTTGCACTCTCCCGATATCATTCCCCTGCGCGGATTATCTTGGTACTGCACAAGTTTAGAACGCTCTGGAGCACGACGACAAACCGTGGCAATAAGTACATGTGGTCCAAATAAATAGCAGCAGTCTGCTGTTACAACTGGCGCCCCACCCACCAGTTGGCTACAACTGGTGGGCGGGGCAAATGGCTACAACTGGCGCCCTGCCCATCATAAAGAGCGAGCATGAGGCCTCCGTATGAAGAGAGGGTACTTGAGAAAGTGGCAAATGCGTGCTCGGCTTGTGAGACCTACGAGCAACACACGAGTGCAAAATTTTGCTCAGGTATTCACAGCAGTGTTGGCTGTCCATTAAAAAGTGTTTTTCACGAAGCCTGATCAAGACAGCCCTAAAGGACATTCGCCCTTTTTCCAACCTAGCAACGCCCTAAATTCAAATTTTTTTTCAGTTCAAGACAACTAAGTGGCGTGAGAGTAGCCCTAATACTGCATTGTTAAATACAGTATGCGACGTTATAATATCACCCATAGACATTTTCAACAAAGAAAGTAAATTATGTGCATGGTATCATATGGAAATATTTTGTGCAATTACTCTCGATCAGAGTGGCAACTGTCTTAAAAGCAGTTTTTCTCTCAACGAGCATGGCAGCGGGATATGAATACGTCGTTTTGCTTTATAACCTATGTAAGGCCTATTTTTTCCGTAAGGTTTATTTTATTCCAGATACACGCTGTGAATATTTCATTTTTCACTTCATTAAAAATGACCCATAAATTAAACTTCATAGAGGGATTGCGCTAATAAAACGCGCCTACTAAACACCCAAGCAGTAAGCAAACAAATCACGTTTTTGTTACACTTTCAACGACTATTTCTTCGCTGGAATATGCATCATGTACAGAGTGAAAAAACGTTTGCTTGATACGAGCTAACTTCCCTAATGAACTTGAACACAAACATACTCAAGGAGGTGTAGCAGCTCGTCCTCAACGATCTTCTGCGTGCGGTCTATGCCAATGGTAAGCAGGTACTGTTTCTTAAAAGACTGTCGCAGGGCCTACAAAAAAAACATTTTAATGGTAAATCACAATTTACAGCACAAACTGCATGCAAATGTATGGCGCACCTGTTCTAGTTAAGAAGTATTTTAGATAATAATGATATATGTAGGAGCTTAACCTCACAAAAGCATGATATATGGTTGAGAGACGCAGTAGTGGAGGACTGCGGAAATTTTGTCCACAAGGGTGACGTGCACCTAAATCTAACACGCAGGTCTTTATGATTATCGCCTCTATCAAAAATAGAGCCACCGTGGGCGGGATTCAATCCTATCACCTATTTTAGGTCTTGAGGCTGAGTCCTTAGATGACTTGCCAAACGCAATAGTATATCGCGGCTACAGGCAGTGCTGCAATGAGCCAGGCGAAACTTAGGCGTCAAGTGATGACGTCACATTACGCCTGCATAACGTCGTCACATCACATTGTAGCTTCACTAAAGGTGGGCGGCCGACGATGGAAGCAGGTATAGGCAGGCGCGGTGCATAATCTTGAAAAGCTTCCGTTCTTTAAGGTAGTGCTAAACCATGGTAGGTGTAGGCAGGTTCGAGGCGGAAGGGGGATGAATCCTTCTACTGAGGAGAAAGCGCAGATGGATTTACTTCTATTGGAGAGTAAAAATCTGTCCCTGCTGTCTCCCCGCTGAGTGCACGCTACTTGATTGAAAAATGCCCCCACCTCTGCGAAGGAGATCGTGAGCAAATCTGAATGCGTAGCGTAGCGTCCATAACGGCATTTGGCACGCGATAGTCCATCGTTAGAAGAATGTTTTAGGGGCGTAGGTAGCTCTTTAAAGCGGCACCCGTTCGTCCCTCGTCGTAGTACGTAACATGTATTACGCTTTGACCCGCAAGGTGGTGCTGGTGGGAGATTTCTCCTGTGTGTTGTTGAACAATAAAAAATTTGCAGCGTGCGCGTCAACTAAAAGCCGAATTCTCCTCTCTCTCATTCCCATTAGCAGCCATTGGCATGCAGATTAAGCACTATCTGACAAGAAAGGGTTGATACGTTATACTCGCTGGGCGTAACCACCTTGGTTTTAGAAAGGTTTAGCGAGCGTTGGGCCGCAGTGCCATGAATACAGTGAACTAGCTTATACCATGATCTCGAGGTGGTTAAAGGTGGGAAGTAAACACGAAGCGCAAGCCGTAAGAAAGTGTGCTTGTGACACCTTGCGTTTAGTCCTTGGAGTGTCCGCTGGATGGCGGTGCTTCTATATGCGGAATATATGATGAAAAGATGCGAGATGGTGGTACTTAGAGTGTTGACTAGATGGACGAACGGACACACAGACAGATGCATGGACGGATGCATGGATGACTGCACGGACGGATGGACGCATGGACGGGCGCAGGGGCGGATGCATGGACGAACGCAGGGACGGACAAACGGATGGACGTGTGGTTGCATGAACAAATGCACGCATGGATGGTCACACATACGGATGCATGGACGGACGGAGGCAAGAACGATTGGACGGACGGATGCTTCGCCCCACTCTCCGTCATTAACCCCATAGATATGCTGCCATTTTTCTTTTTTCTCTCACACCATGCAGCCAATAGCGCTGTCCACCGCATGTGCGTTTTTTTTTTTGTCGCGAGAAACGTGGTATGGATTTCCAGATCTCGATCTTAGAGGAACGTTTGATAACGTCAAACACGGTAGTATTCTTTCCAGCCTCTCTTCTACAAACAGTGGTCAAAAGACCATCAATTACATTCGAGCCTTTAGGTCTTATCGCGCCGCTTTCATCTGCCTCGATTCTATTGAACATGGCCCGTACCCAATAGGCACATGGGGTACACCCCAAGGTGCCGTCCTGTTCCTCCAACTCTTTAACCTGGCCATGAAGAAGCTCTCCTACCTTCTGCACGAGTCTGAGGGAATACACCACGCATTATATGCCGCCGATATTACAATGTGACACATTACAACACTGGCTCCCCAGGACAAATTGAAGAGCGCCTACAAAAGGCTGCCCTTCTGATGAACACTTACGCGGCTTTGTGTGGCCTGGAGTGCTCTCTAGCATAATCGGTTATTCTCTCGGTATCCCGCTTACCTCCACCCCCACCCCCACCCCCCCGGTTTGGCTTCCGTCTGATTTCGTCCTTTCCGTCGAAAAAATTTGAATTCCTGAGCTTCACAGCACATCCCAAGGACATAATAGCAAGCCTCCGACGCACCAGCGAACAGGTGAGCCGTATGATACGGCGGGTGTCTACCAATTGCGGCGGCCTCCGTGGGACCCAGTCCATGTGGTTGGCCCATGCGTTTGGGACCTGTCGTGTCCTGTACGCCTCACCTTACCTTCGCCTGCGTCGTCACCACCTGCACCAGCTGGACGTCCTCCTTCGTTCAGTATACAAACGTGCACTCGACCTTCCCATTCCCACCTCAACCAACTAATGCGTGGCACTGGGGGTACATAACTCCTTTGAAGAGCTGTGTAAAGCTCATCGTGCTAGTCAAATTAAACGCCTGTCGCAGACGTCCTGAGGGCGACGTCTACTACACAGGCTCGCCCTGAATGCGATCTCTAATCAAGACACTCCGACGCCCATATCGCAACTTTGGTGGCATAAACTATAGGTGGAACCACCACCTGGCAACATGAACCCCGAGGTACACCCCAGCTGTAGACTAACACATACCGCGGCCCTGCAGGCGCGACACTCCGATCGCCCTGGCGTTTTCTACGTAGACGTCTCGGGCCCCTCTCCCTTGGGTCACATCACAGCCGTCGTGATCACAGAGGGAAACATGTCGATGGCTTCTACTTTAGAGCCAACACTGTGACGCAAGCTGAGGAAGTTGCAATTGCTTTGGCCGCCTCGCATCCCACCTCACGCACCAACCTGACGGACTCGTGCTGGGCCTGTTCCCAATAAATTCAGGGTTCCATCGCCCATCTGGCAGTAAACCTACTTCGGGCAGACTCTTGGTGCTTCAACCCTCGTATAGTATGGACCCCAGGCCACTCGGGCCTGCATGGCAACGAAGCAGTGAACGCCGCTTCCCACGCATCTGTCATCCTGGCCGTTGCGCCTCCATTTCCGGAGTCGGAATCCTGCAATACTCACCTGACGCGCTTTCGCGAAATTCTTGCCTGTTACCGGACTTCGCGCCACCTTTACCCGGACCCCGCATATGGTCTAAAGAAAGCGGACGAGAGAACGCTGCGCCACCTCCAGACGAACACTTATCTCACTCCGGTTGTCGCCAGGCATTTTTTGCCAGAAATCAGTGGCACCTGCTCGACCTGCCAGGTCCTGGTCGACACCTACTACATCGTCGATTCGAGCCCCACTAACCCCCTTTCTTTTTTCCTTCTTTTCCCATCTCATCTAGAGAGGCTTCAGAGCAGTACCTGCTCGACTGCTCGACCTTGATGCTCAACTCTCCTTGTTAAGGCACGCTCGAGCAGCGGCCAACTCCATTGGCATTCCGGAATATGGTCTTGCCACTCAAGCATGCAATATGTCACAACTATCTGGTACAATTTCTCTAATAAAATGCTTTCTACCGCCACCGAAAGCTCTATTATCTAACGCGCATGTTTAAAACTACTTTGAAGTGAACAAACCAAACACCGTTCTCAGCTCGGCGTCAGCGTTTTCAGAGCGGCGTCTCGAGCACACATTTCCGTATATTCTTGAGAGGCGCCCAGCCAGCGAAGAGTCGAGATTGAGGCACAAATGGTCGGGGAAGTGGGGAGCAGCGGGGAGAGAGAGTGGATGGTGACAGGAGTGGCGAAGCAATGCACCTACCCTCTCCTATGCTCTCTTGAAGCACATGCTCCGGTTGCCAGGGGTGAGGAGAAGTGCGCGTGCCCGCAGCTGTTGCTACGGGAGAGGGTGGTAGACGTATCTTCATGAACGCCTGATATAGCACGACTAAGCAATGCAGTCACATTTAAAAAAGTGACTTCTCACGCTGCAAAACTGTTCACCAGCCAACCTGTGTAATATAGGCACTGGATCTGCACCTCCAAGTCCAGCGGGAGATTTCTTCTGTGCGTTGTAGGGCAATAAAAATTCGGAACGTGCGCGGTAAATAGAAATCACAGCATATACACGGAGTGCATGATGATAAGCGGGGCGAAGCATTCGTCCGTTCGCGCATCCTTCTGTGCGACCGTCCGTGCATCCATTCGTTCATTCGTGCGTCCGTCCATCTGCGCATCTGCCTGTGCATCCGTCCCTACGTTCGTATGTGCATCCATTCCTGCGTCCTTTCGTACGTCCATCCATCTGTCCGTCCATCCATCCATGCATTCGTCCGTGCATCTGTCTGTCCGTCCATCTATCTAGTAAACACTTAAAGTACCACCATCTCACATCTTTTCATCATATATTCAGCATATAAATGTACCGCCATCCAGCGAACATTCCAAGGACTAAACGAGAAGTGGCACACGCGCCTTTTCTTACGGCCTGCGCTTCGTATCTACTTCCTACCTTTCGCCGTGTCTAGTTCATGGCTATATACTAGTTCACTATATCATGGCACTCCGGCCGAATCGTCGCTAAAACTTGCTAAAACCAAGGAAGTTACGCCCAAGCGAGTTTAACGTGACATCCATTTCTGGTGAGATAGTGCTCAAAATGCGTCCTTCTGATACTAGTTTTTTTTTTAGTAAGCATCAACATCACGGGAAATTTATTAGAGATTGTCACCAATACTCGTCTGTGTAAGTTATTTCATAAAATAACTATCTTTTTATTTGTGATCAACGTGCGCTGGTTTCCTCCTAAATTGAAAAGGGTGTGCGCGTGCGCCGCTCCTCCAATTCAGCCGTGGAGGTGGCCCCTACTACTACTACTGCTACTACTACTACATACATCGCGGACGCCCGACTCACGGAATATGGCACTTCGACCCCAAAAAGCGGACCATGGGTCTCTAGTGTCCAGTCGTAGTCTACTGTCTCTCCCCACCCATTATCAGTAACTGGCATGTTCAAGAGAAAAACATCGGTCAATCACTGCGTGGTTTGCGCCTCCTAAAATTCTCTCCCGCGCCATGCTACGAAGAGCGCCAGCGTCCGTCTCCACCAGTGTAGGCGTTAACGCGCGCTACTTCGCATCATGGTTCCCTTTGGTGGGAGATGGTGTAATTTTTTTTCAATATAACGTTGTATTGTTTTTCCTTTTAATTGTAAAACTTTCAACCTCTTTCACATAGTTATGTGTTATGCCCTTTTTTGATGAACGGGCTGTAATCTGTCCATTGCGTAGTACTGAATTAGAATGTTTATTGCAATGTTAATTTTTATGAAGTTCAATGTTTTTTTATATTTATTTCTGCCTTGTTCATTTTTTACGTTTTCCCTTAGATACGTAGATAGTGATGGTGGCAACGACCGGTTACAACTTGTTTGATAGGCTTCTATGGCAATTTCGCTACCAGTTTACATATTCCATGTACAGCGTTACCGCCACATCCGCCCTTGAAATCACAAATAGCAGATTTCGCTTCAAAAACCTTTGATCACATGCTTTACAGAAGTGTAAACACGGCAGCGCGTGCAACCTACAGCGACGATTTCGCTGACGTTGTGAATGCTTCTGGGCATGACTTCCAGGCCGTCCAGGTGGAGTCCGTCAACTCCACTGCGGTCCAGCCACACGCGGGCATCCGAAGCGAGACGCTTCGGAGACCAGCCCGTCTGCAGCATCGCATCCAGGTCGACGGAGAGAAGCAGTCGCACGTCACCGGCCAGGTCGCGCAGATGCAGGAACTTCTTGAAAGCCGCTGTGTTTATAAAAATAAATCGATTGGGTCTAAATGGTTTAAATAGAATTGTTAATAATATTAACGTTATAATATTATAAAATGGAAATACTACTACCGCCACTACTATTATTATCAATATAATTATAACAATATTGATAATAAAATAATAGCAGCAGCAGCAGTAGGAGGAGGAGGAGGAGGAGGAGGAGGAGGAGCAGTAGTAGTGGTACGAATTGAACATGTCATCCTGATGCTGTAGGCTCAGTAGTTAAGGGCAGTCAGTTGTCACTTTGATTTATGTCCTGGTTATACATAATGGTCAAGAGACTACGTATCATATCCTTGCGGCAGGATGTTTTCCTTGGCATTGTTGTCAGTCGATTTCGTTAGGTTTTACAACGTTGTACATAGTTGTAGCTACAACTGCAACTACACCTATGCAGCGGCACATCTCGGAGCCCTCATATGCTGATTCTTCAGTGTATGACGGCGTATAAACGTGATTGCCTCTAACTTTTTTATACGAACTTGTCATCTCAATGCAACCACGAAAAAGTTCATAACTCAATCTGAGTTATTTCGGCAATGATGAGAAATATAGGGATACAGTTCATTGATATCTGGGGTTTAACGTCCCAAAACCACCATATGATTATGAGAGACGCCGTATTGGAGGGCTCCGGAAATTTCGACCACCTGGGGTTCTTTAACGTGCACCCAAATCTGAGCACACGGGCCTTTAACATTTTCGCCTCCATCGGAAATGCAGCCACTGCAGCCTGGATTCGATTCCGCGACCTGCGGGTCAGCAGCCGAGTACCTTAGCCACTAGACCACCGCGGCGGGGCAGAGGGGTACAGTAAACTGACAAACTTGATATTCATTCATAATGTTAAATCATAAGCAGAATGAGAAACCTTACTAAATCACAAATAAGGCAGTGCTTCTTCATGTCTTACGCCTGTGTCATTAAGTTTTCTATTTTTTATCTCAATGTAACATAATGAACGAGTGATATTCATCTCACTTATTGCGGCTTTGGATGCAAAGCATCTGCGAAGCTGGTCTACGTGTTCCTACTTGGGCTGAATATATTGAAAATTACAGAGCTTAATGAAGTGTACCGAAGAATAGAAGGCAAATGCGCATATACACTCCATACACAGAAGCTAGCAAGAACGACGCTGATAAGCTCTCTGGCAAGTGGTATCAAAAAGACCGACCTGCTGCTTTTTTTCTCGATCTGTGTTCACCTTTGTGTGTACGTCGCTACAATCCGTATGCAAGCACGCGCACACAGACGTATGTATGTATGTATGGGTGGATGTATGTACGTACGTACGTATGTATGTATGTATGTATGTATGTATGTATGTATGTATGTATGTATGTATGTATGTATGTATGTATGTATGTATGTATGTATGTATGTATGTATGTATGTATGTATGTATGTATGTACGTACGTACGTATGTATTATGTATGTATGTATGGTATGTATGTATGTATGTGTATGTATGTATGTATGTATGTATGTATGTATGTATGTATGTATGTATGTATGTATGTATGTATGTATGTATGTATGTATGTATGTATGTATGTAGGTTTATGTATGTATGTGACGCCACCGTGGAAGACTCTTCCCCAAGGCACTAAAGTATGGACTGAGTTGCGCACCGGGGTCGTAGCTGTAGAGCACGTCCTTGCTGCCGTGTGGTGACTGGGATCCTGGTCTGTTTGGCACGCTGGCGTAGATGAAGTGAGTGCAGACGCCGTAAGGGTAGACACCCGTGCGGTACCGTGCTGAGAACCGGCACAGCAGGTTCAGGTTCGGCGACGCTGAACGAGAGAACGACACCAGTCCCGTATATATTCAGGTCTTTTCAACATCCCTGCATTAGACAACTTGCCGGGTTTATCGCTCAGTGGCTCCATAATACAAGTTAGTTTCAAATAGTTTTGACAGATTTTTCTATTATTGGGATACAACAAAGGCGAGAAAGATATGATGTAGCAAGAAGGGGCACCATACCTTCTCGCATTGTGCAGAAAAGATAGCCCGGTAATGTTTCATACCGGGCTAGTTTGCCGACACCGTACGTTAACTGCACCAAACTTCTTCCAAGTTTGCGCCAACGATGCTTTACACTGCTCGCATTACCTACGATGTGGGTGATATTGATAGCGAAAACTGCGATGACCACAACTATATAGATGGTGATGCGCTGTACCAGTTGTAAAATACTCGAAGTCGAAAATTATGAGTGGTATAGCAACGGGAACCGAAAAGATATGACAGTGATAATAATGTTATTTGGCGTTCAATGTTCCAGACTCATGCCTTGACTATGAGAGAGGCCGTAGTGGAGGGCTGCGGAAATTTACATTACCTGGATATCTTTAACGTGCGCCTAAATCTAAGCACACGGGCAAAAAAATGACCTGACTGGCGCCTACCTTTCAAGTAACGTTTATTAGAAATTATTTACATGAACAGAGGACCGCGCAATGCGACCATACTAAACACAATTTGGTGGTGCTTCACTGGACTGGTATAGCTAGAGATAAAGATTTTCCTTTCTTAACTTACATGTGACCGCCACTTTGACTACTCAGAAAGCACATATTTTATCTTCAACTACTACCAAGCAAACACAGGTGCACGCAGTTAAGTGCGCTCTAATCTTGTCAGTTTCACTTATCTCCCTAGCCGACGTGTGCTTGTACTTTTTAAGCACATACGGGAGACTACAGACTGCGAAATAGACCAGCGCTTCTTGTAGTGCAATGTTAAATGCGTGACACCTGCAAAAACCTTGGCGAACGACGAATCCACCCCTACTGTTTTCTCGCCCGGACCTTCACAACATAACGATGATAATCATCATCATGAATAATTGCCGTAATGTTTAAAAATTCCGAACGTGACTCAGCAGTATACAACCTCTGCATTTCCAGCGTTGTGAGGAGTGTGTAACGCCCGTTTGAGACATAACAGAATGCTTACTTGCATGAGTACTTACTCGGGGCATTTTCTGAAAGGATCATTGAAAAACGCACATGTCATTCAGAGAAAGGAACCATAACTTAAGGATCACGTACAGTGGCACTCCGAGCAGACAGCGTTCTCTAAAAATATGCCGGAGCCTGCACCTTTCTATCCTGAACGACACATCCCACGTCCGCTTTTGACTACTATAGGCCAGCAGGTCATTATGTCCGGGAATGTGAACTATGCAGCAATACCATCACGACTGTTAGTGTCCTTGAAGCGTAATGTGTATGTTGTGGGTTCCGTCCGTCTTACTCATACATTGTATTATAAGTTGAACAGAGGCCAAGTTGTATTTTTCAGTCTTTCTGAGGAATATGCTAACAACATTGAGTGTTGTCACTTTATTCTCGCTTGGGGGAAACCTCTTAGTTATCTTTTATTTTTTGCTCGCAACTTCGGTAACATTCCTTGTTTCAAAACAAAACGTTTAGGAGCTGAATTCGTTTACTTAATGAATCAGTGACGAAAAGTTACATCATATTGGCGGAACTAGCTTAAGCGCTGGTCTAATCAAAGGTTGTCTTATTTTTGACTAAGTTATGCGAACTGTCTTTCCGAGAAGCACTGATCAACCACACTGCATTTTACTTGTTTTCTCTTTGTTGTCGCAAAGCGGACATAGCAGGTCCTGTCAGATTGCGAGAGTAAGTCACCTGCGAAGGCATTGCCTCTATGATATTTCCGTTCTCAAGAGCTATGTAAAGCGACTCGTGTTACATACGTAAAAAAACCGTGCTGAGCACATTCATTCATGTGCGTATTTCGTGGTAACTTTGCTATATGGCACCATGTTGAAAAGAAAATTCGAGAGAGTAGTGCAGCTGCAATGTCTGCAGTACATCACATGTTGCGTATAGGAATGGCAGATTCGCTACCGATTCGTTGAGAAAAAATTGGTACATTAGTTGCCTATGCAGGTCAGACAAGAGAGTTCGAAGCCTGAAGGCTAACATATTTACGCGCACTCTTGGGGGAGATGGCTGTAAGGGTTCTGCATAAAAATTTTCGAAAGGCACACAATTTGAGAGAGGGATGAGACGGGGTGAAGGAGGTGTTAAACTTATGAAGTTCAAGTTCACATTTATTTTTGGTCACGTATGTTTACTAGCTATGACACATATCTCTCACCACCGATCCATAATTATGAAGACTGATACTGATTCATATGTGGTGTTTAACATCCCATAACCACCATATGATAATGAAAGACGCAGAAACATGAAGTCTGACAGAGAGAGAAAGATAAAGGAAAGACAGGTTAACCAGAGACCCCGGTTTGCTACCCTGTGCTTGGGAAGGAGCCAAAGGATGTAAAAGAGTGAAAGAGAAGAATATATATCCGTGAAGACGTGATTCGCGCATATGAAAGGGGAGTCGGATTGCTTTCGTCATAGCACTCGCAATGGGTTTTCTGATCTACGAGACTACCTTGCCACCTGTTCAGTCTGAAGTATCTAGGTGGCAAGGACACCGCGGCTGAATGGTAGGGTGGGTATAAAGGCTTTCTACCAACTGGTGTTTCGTCATTGCACATCACGCTTAAGCGGCAGCAACGCGATGCATTTTCGTATCTTTATTGTTAGTGCTTTTAACTTTCGTGTTAGTGCTGTTAATCCTTTATTGTTGGTGCTGTTAGCTAATTTTCGTGACTTTTATTGTTAGTGTTGTTAGTTTTCACTGGTGCACTGTAAGTTCAGATTACCATTTCGTCTAACGAATAGAAGGTGAATCATCGAGACTGCCCGCTTTTCTTCAGAACCTGATAGAGACTTTTTAGAAAGATTCAGAAATACCGTACGCATGGTATATTAACGCTCCTCATTTCTTGCTCGTTGTCTTTTGGCAGCTCCTCAATTCATTTAGGAAACACCAGAACCACAATATTTTCAATGGGCTTGTCTTATCTCACTGTTGCCTGTCATCCTACGCATTGTTCACCACGAAGCTGTCGCTAAAGGGATGCACTATTGCTGAAAACGTGGGTAGCATAAGCACAACGAACTAAACGAGCAGTGGTACTTAATACCATACCCTATTGCCGTACCAAACTTTCGTGATCTGGTAAAAGTCACTAATAGCAGAAATCTTGGATGTCAATATGCATTCGGTGACGTCAAGCATGACGCTGTAAGGCCACCGAAATTTTAACGAAGGAAAACGGTTTGGTCTGGCGGTATATAAGCATCACTGTTTTGCTTGCAGCAGTGGTTCGACCGTGTCTTCGCTGGTAAAAAGAAGAAAGGTGAGGGGGAGTGAAGTGCGCCACGCCTCGCCGTGTCGCCATGGTGCCCACTTTATTTGGCCAAATGTCACCTGTCCTGCGCCTCACTGTCGCATGACGCTGAGAGCGACTCTTTCGGTCCAGAAAATGGTGGCTAGCAGTTCCTCTTGTTCATCAATCCTAATGAGTTTCTCATATGGTAATTTTCAAGGAGCTCTTGAAGGAATGACTTCGGAGGGACAAAACAGCCGCACCCCCTGAAGATGGGACCATGGGTGGATGTAGTTAATTTATATATGTTAGATTATCTGACAATTTTGATTCAGTTTAGCCACTACCGATATTCGCCAGTCGGTGAGTACTCGCGAAACAGTACGCTTGCACGCGTCGTAGGATTATAGCCAACACTCTCGTCAGGTTGTCTCGCGGTGAGTAAAACCTAACTTTTATATACACATTTTTGTACTATCGTTATAAGAAATGCTTCCTCGCCAATTCACCGGCGTCACACTTGCCACAGCCACAGCCGGGGGCGACTAATCGCGCCACCAACGTGACTTCACTGCTCAAGTCACGGAACTGTCCCGCATATGGCCGTTCATATTCCCCTCCTTTTGCACTGGTTAAAATATGCAAACACGTGCCGTTGAAACATGCCATTGTATTAAATCATAATTACTCAAGCATTGACAATCTTACATTCTCGAACCAGCTCTGTCTACAATGCTGCGAGTATTGTGACTAGCGAGAAGTCTTCAAATATTGTCGGCAAACGCCTGGCCTGACGTGTTCGTCCTGCGTGCCTTTTAATAAGACAGATTTGCTTACGTTCAGAGTTTTCTTCAAATGCCTTCTTGATGACGTCCATGCTCTCATCGGCGTCTCCTGTGTGGTTTTAAGAAACAATGACACGACAGAAGACTTCTTGAGCACCTGCCGTTAGTTACAATCTAAGTATAAATACCAGCTCCATCCCCGAAAATTTGGCATGCCTGTCAAACATCTCAGCAACAAAAGCATGCTAAATTGTTTCCGTTCAAGCCATAAAGCAACTACTTTGATGCAGGTACCTATGAACTAGAAATTAATCATACTATCACGAAATCTCACATCCGGTTGAACTGTGACACATCTGCTGAAATTTGCGAGAAATGATTCTGCCACAAACCTATTCCACCTCCCTAGACAGAAAAAAGGGATGCAGTCAGTCATATACACTAACATAAGAGAGAGGGGAGATACTGCGACTCGGGAGAAGGCACCAAGTCAGCCCCACGCATTGACATTACATGGAGGAAGGGGGGGGGGGCGGCGGACTTTCACCCTGCCCTGCGCATGCTTATACACTTGAAGTCAGCCACGAGGAAGGCTGGTGACGTTCACAGGTGCCGTCATATTACCAGTCATATTTTAGCGGTGTTTTCTGGAGAAACAACGATTGAGCGATCCCACTGTGAGAGTTCACATTTACAAGCTCGGTAAGTGCTACATTGGCAGCGATGGGCTGAAGTGCTGACTATGCTGCTTGACAAAATGAACAAATACATCTTTGTTATCAAAAAACACTCCCACCTACGCAATGCATTGGGGAAATCGGTTTCATGTCAACCAGACAACAAGTAGTAGCCCGTGCTAAAATATTTAAGATATGATAAAAGCTTACGGACAGGTTAAACGATTTTGCACAAAGTGAATACTTGGACGCATATCGTGGCCTTACAAGCCACACTGGGTACGCGGATGCGTAAAGATTAATTTATGGTTCAACGTAACGTCAACACTTACGTCAGAGCGCAGACATCCGTGTCATCGAAGCGATGCTTATGATACAGCGCGATGACGTGCGTATCATACTTATGCCTAATCAGCGTGATTTTCCGGACGAGCAAAACTTGAATTGAGCTTGTTGAGTAATAGGTGCAAATGCTTATGGTTGTTTACGCCGTTGCCTAAGCAGATAGCTCACACTGATTTCGGAACACTTCAACCACCACTACAACCACAACCCGACATGACGCCCGCATAGCGTCCTCTATGAATTCACTTTCAAGACTTGGTATACCATTGTGGCAGAATGCTTGGCCGCCGCTTGGAATGCCTGGGATCAACTCTGGCTTCAAGAGTGATTTGTAGTCTTTGCACCGTCAGGATTTTCCTCTCATACAAAGCACCATTTCGAGCGAATTTAGTGTGGCACGTGTTCGCGAACCTCCTCGCATTCCAACTTCCAATCTATGTGCTCACCGCTCCTGGGCTAACTGAAATGGACTTGTAATCACCTATGGTACATACACGCATTCCAGAACGCGATAAGCTGCCGTGCTTCAATCGTGGCGGCGTGAAAATAATTAGTCCAGTATCATTCAATCAATCAATCAATCAGTTTATTATCATGTCATAAAAGGATGTTACAGGGAATAAAATATACAGACGAGGGTCCCAAAGTACACGACTGCAACGGGACCCTTGGTGATCATTACAAATAATAAAAGCACAAGCAGCTGTTAGAATCGTAGAAGCAAAAATATATAAAGCAGAATAAAAACAAAAAGGCATGGAATCAAAAAACAAATAATACAGCATAAAACAACACAAAGAAGATAGATCAACTATTTAACAGGTACTCTTTTAATGAGTTTTTAAATGAAAATAAAGAAACCTTGCATTTTAGCGAAGTGGGCAATTTATTCCATATGGTGATGATACAGAAGAGAGAAGATGATTTACCATAGTTAGTACGAACCTTAGGAAGTAAAAAGTTATTATTAGCCGCAAACCTGGTTGTGTTAGTAATAACTAACATCTTAGGATCAATGAAATCAGCAGAAAGTTGAGTTCTTATTTGTTTATGCAGAAACATAATTAGATTAAACCTGAATAGATAGTTAACAGTTAAGATTTTATTGCATTGAAGAAGGGGAGCGGCTCTACTGTCGCGAGAACAGTTAAAAATAGCGCGAATAGCTCAAACTTGTAGATGTTGTACGGATGAAACTTGACACTGGTAAGTATTCCCCCATGATGCGATGCCATAAGTAATATGAGAATGAATGAATGCGAAGTAAAGTGAAAGGAGTGCTTTATGAGAAAAATATGAGCGAGCTTTGAGTAATGCGCGAATGCCGAATGCTGCCGTTTTTCTAATGTGAGCAATATGGAGAGCGAAGTTAAGGTTAGCGTCGAGGTGAACGCCAAGAAAAGATACACTGTCGCTGATATTAATCAAATGAGAGTCAACAGTGAGCTGTGGTGAGGAAGTTAACTTGCGTTGAGCTGATCTAAAAACCATAAACTTAGATTTATTTGGATTAATAATTAGGAAATTTTCCTGCCACCATTTTGACACGCTACAAAGTACAGCATTTAATTTATTAGTGACGTTGTCAATACATCTATCAGCAATAGAAATGGTAGTATCATCAGCATATAAAATGCAGTATATGGGAGGCTTGACATAATAAATGAATAAATAAATAAATAAATAAATACATAAATAAATACGAAAACTTGGTGGGCGGGTGAAAATTTGACTAGACCATTGAATAATATTACTTAGACTGTTTATGCGTGTTTTCAATAAAACCTATATCTGATTTTAATGCCAAGGAAGACGAGGACATCACACTGTAACCACCTGGCCCTGATAGTTGCCTCTGAATCATCGTTGTGGGCACAGTAGTTATCATCTCCTACTCATCGAAACAGTGCTTCACGTGGGTAATAGGAAATACTGGCCGTGTAGTAAAAAATTTGCTCGACTCGAGGGCATGGGTTTGATTCCCGAATACGGCGGCCCCATTTCAGTCGGGACTAAATGCAAAAAACACCCGGATGTTTAAACATAGGTGCACATGAAAGACTTATAAACGACAAAATTCAATCCGTACGTCCCCTCCCTTCTTACGGCCTCTCGCAATCATATCGTGGTTTTGGCTCGTATAGGGGATCACACAACTATTACTTGAAGGCGAAACACTTGGATGTGTCATCAATGCGATAATTGATCATCTGCGTAATCACGAGTGGCGCCAAAATCCTCGCCCCATTTAGACGTCGTCATATGACGTCATCATGACTTCAAATATCATCAACATATGTGACGTCACTATGACACCATATGATGTACGTCATTAGGTCACATTGCGTCATCAAACAGGAGCCGATTACGAAGGCAGGGCGAAACCGGGTGAGGTGTGGAAAGCGTAAAATGCCATCAATACTCTAGGCAGTAAGGAACTGCAGCGGGGGCAAAAGCCAAGCGACGAGGAAGGTAGATTGATACACTCAAACACAAGAAAGGGATGATGGCTTTTACCTCCGAGTACTCCGCCGCGAATGCGTAAGGTAACATGTGGTACGGAATTAATAAATGCGAAACATTTCTTGGTGGACTGTAGATACCTTAATAATTTCTATCTATCTATCTATCTGTCTATCTATCTATCTATCTATCTGTCTATCTATCTATCTCTCTATCTATCTATCTATCTATCTATCTATATATCTATCTATCTATCTGTCTATATATCTATCTATCTATCTATCTATCTCCCAGTCTCTCAGGCCACTTGCGTCTGGGTGCTCTCGTGATCACCTCGTACTTGAACTAGACAAAGAACTTGTGGGAGGGTAAGAGGATTTGACGAATATGCCTGGTTGGCCATAACGAGAGTACCTCGCAAATTTTGTTGCGTATGTCGTCAAACCCTTTCCTCCAGTTACATGTGGCACCTAGCCGAATACTACGGGCAGTGGTATGCGTGTATGAGCCACGGCTGATTTACAGTTCATATCCACCCAGTAACGGCGACGACAGACATTAGTAATTTTATTGTGAAAACAATAAGGAAAACTGACAATGGCAGCGTTAGCTCAATGAGTGCAAGTAATAAATATCAGAGTCCCCACACGAATTGAACAAAACGCATTTTGCGTGAATATCAAACATTCTACAACAGAGCTGCGCCAGACCACGGAACTCCTTTGAAAAAATGCCCTATGCGGTGGCGTAATCATGGTATGGCGTCATTTGTGCTTGCTGAGACGTCTATAAAATTTCGTAGCCACTACACATGTAGTGCAACGATGAAGTCATCACGTCGCGTTGACGTAAATGACGACATACACTGAAGCTTGTCTACCTTGGGCTACCATATTCGCAAGCACGAACGCTACACCTCAGGTTACCACTTCTGGTGTTGATAATACCCACATTGCTGCTTGTATTTTTACGTGGTTGTAAACAACTAGACATGAAGCATGTGTGACTGTTAAACCTATATCTGTGCGTTCGTTAAATTTAGCGTCATTCGGTAACGTTTCACTCAATAAAAGTAGAGCACAGTTGCCTTCCCTTCACATGGTACGTGTGGTCTATCGAGTTTTTCTTTTCTCGCAATGTCACTGCGGCATAAGCATGGCAAGGTTTTGGGAGAACACACAAAATGCGACGCCGTAAGTGTAGAAGAAAATATGCAATCCGAAAGGACACCACTGTTTGAGAGAATACAACTCATAGTTTAGGAGGGTCATATGATTATGAGTCATGGTTCATGTGGTTATATGTCATGATAATAAATGCATGCCATGATGGTATATTCGTGTGAAATTAGAACCGCAAGATTGAGATGTTTAATCAATGCTCACAATAATAGTAAATATGCTTTGTTCGGTTCTATAACTAAGCTCGCTGTTTCTTCAGCTCTAATAATGAATATTGAGGTGATTTGACTGAACACTTATCTACCTGCAAAGAGAGAAGTAGTGCACAAATGAGACAACAGCTTAGTATAATGGTCGGTTAGCATGTATTTCCAAGATATTCTCATGTAGCCGGAGAACACTTGACAAGAACATCACATGTACACCCATTAGGCAACCTTTGATACATGAATGACCCTCTTTTGCTGCTTCTTTACACTAGTTTTCTTACATATGCACGAATAAATTAACAATAAATTTAGGTTCACAACCGAGAATCTCATCGTTTATATGATTGATTGGGTGAGTTGGTGTTGACAGAGACAACCGCTTACTAGTAAGCGCTTGTCTCTGTCTATTCAGTCCGCGTCTACGTAGCGTGCTCTGATTTCAAGCCATCTCCTCGTTTTTCGCGTGTGATATTCTTTAAGCTTGAAACACTACACTACTGCAGATCAGTTCCGCGTTCTCCCACGAAGTGACTGGGGGGTTTCGAAGGGAAAAAATCAGTAATACTTCTCTTTCAACCTGAGACTCCGTACGGATATCTACGAAAATTCCCGTAATAGCCGATACCAGGACGGGCGAATTTTCATGTAACGTTTGCTGCAAACGGGGTCCTAGTCAATTGTTCTTTTTCATAAGTACTAGCACTGCTCATGACCTTTTTGCTACACTAATACACTTGTGCCTCCAACAGTTGGTAGCCACAATTTCATAAACTCGGCCTACTTGCCTTGGTTGTAAAAGGCGTCTTCGTTGAGAACATTCGTTTCCCTCACTGCAAGAGATATATCAAGCCAAGGTTGTGTAATGGTGTAGAGCTTCAATTCACTCATTATCTACGCATTTCTTACAAATTTCCTTTCTTGAACAACACTGACCGTGCTGTTGTGCCATGCCGGCGAATGCGAACAGCGTGGCCGTGACCAGAGACGTGACGCCGACCACGGCGAGGAAAAGGCCGTACTTGCGCTGCGTCACCACCAACCACCCCGAAACCAACCGCGGCTCCTCACTGCGCCACGAGGGATTGAAATGGGCATGAACACGCACTCATTCGTTCCATCAAGTATTTCACATCAAACTCATAATAACAAAACATATTTTTTCGCGTTTTCCACGATCCATGGACGCCCACGATCGATTAGGCGTCTGGAATTTAAGCTGCTGCGCTGAAAAGCCCACCAATGTAATACCACATTCTAGCAATATATCAGAGCATGTGCGTTGTTAACTGGCTTTTATTTTTTAAATAGAAGTGAAGCAGCTGTCCAAGGTTCAATGGCAATTCCTTGCTATGTTTAGCTAGGTATACCCTTTTACGTAATTTGATGGGAAAAAGACATTTTCAGCACTGCGAGCTATTGACATTTCCTCATTATATTTTCAAAGTGCCTTCTCCTAGGTATTTACGATAATGCAAAGGAGAAAAAAAAGTCTACAGGAGCACATTGGTTTGATCCTTGTAAAGTCGATTGTTGATAAGCTTGCAATGTATGTTCTTCAACAAGTACATTCTAATGTACGGCACCGACTATTTTATTTGAAGTCAATCACTCATTGTTGATCATTCTGGGCTTGGTGCTGCAGATTTGTTTGCGAGGGCATGCATGCATGTGTGTGTAGGGGGGGGGGGGGGGTGTGACAACCCGTCACTGGTGGTAATGATCAGTGGCAGTGGTAATATACATCAGTGAACTTCGATTAAGGTGCACGCAAAAAAACACCAGCTGGTCGAAATTTTATGAGCCCTCTCCTACAGCGTCTCTCAAAATGATGTTGTAGTCTTGGAACGTACAATCCCACATAATTTATGAAAATTCCAGATTCTTGCTCACGAAAGAGTTATTCAAACAGCTAGATTAGGCCACATGACTCATTTTCTGTAACCAGATTTCTTATAAGTGTAGAGATCACGGAGATAATGACTCATCACAGTATGTCTGGGTACTCACTCGGAAAGAATGCGCCTCTGAGACAACACTGTAAGAAAACATCCGTAGGTTAGGATAAAGAGGAGAGACATCGTAAATTAGAGCTTGGTGAATGATGCAGAAGCAACGCTTACTTTTTTGTTGCTGTGGATTCGAGAGCTCTTGTATTCTTGACTGCTGAAAAGAAAAAAAAAAGCAGCCAACGTACCGCAATGGCAAGAACGCAACCTAGCGTCGCATATCTCATAAATAAGCTGACCAACAAGAATTTAAAAAAGAAAACGCACACCAGGACGTAGAACTAAGATAGCGAACGTTCGTATACGCACTGCTGCAAACGATTAACCAAAACACTGCTGGGCTACGGTTATCGAGCAAATGAAACCTCGTTACGCAGCGAATGCTTGCAGGAGTAATGTTCCGCAAAAAATCTTATTTCGCCCTCGCAAAGAGAGGGATACGAGACAATTTCAAGGGGTTGGCACCTCACCCACTCCAAAATAAAGAAGGTGGCCTCCTTGAAAAAAATTCGGCAACGCCCGTGCCTGTGAATATGCAAAGCACAAGCACATTATTCCCCCTGGACTTATGCCGCCTCCACAGCAGTGAATCGTGGGGCGCCACGGGAAAACCACCCGGCTGCTCAAGGTCATCGCGACGGATGAATGACCCAGTAAAACAGCGTATTAGAACTACCGCTCTAACATGTGCCTACGATAAAGCAATTTGTGACATCACATTGTCGGACGTCAAGACGTACAGCGTAGCTTTTCTTTCTGTAGCTTTCTTTACACTTTACACACTCCTCAGTACAAACATTGATCTGCGTGGTCAGATGGTTTGCGGCGTGGCTGATCCCTCTGCTGCGTAGATTAAGTTCTCTCCCACACTGTGATGATTGAGATATCGGAGCCAACACTGGTGCTTCTGACCTCCTATTAGAAAATCGCCTAGAGCCGCTCCGTAGAATATTGTGCCGCAACACGAGCAAAGTGCTGTATGAATATAGAGGACACCCCTGCCAAACAAATATTCAAATCGGGAGCGTTCGATATCACGATTGGTCAATTCAGAAATGCTGACAATCCTTTCAACACTAGGGATCAACAAAACGAGGCATTTGCGCCGTGACAGGACTTGTGAGACTAGGGCCACTGTACTTGAAAATGTGTGATAAAATAAAAACAAACTCGCAGCCGCTGTTTGCGTTGTTTCCTTACCAGAATCACCGATGGGTTTCTTCTTCTTCTCGCTAATTGAACGTACTTCCCAGCGATGATGATCATGACTACGTGGTATGGTACGTGCCAGCTATAGGATTCGCGGGATGGCCACTTGAGAAAGGCAACGCAAAGAAAACGTAATGATAGGTAATAAACTGGCCTGACTGAAAACACACACAATTAAAAGGCAATGAAAGTCATCGGTAAACAAAAAAGAGATAAGAACCTCACAGCTTCTGCACAAGGCCATAACAATGAAAACGATATCAACACATCGGGCTGTTATACGAAGTAATGCTGGCACATTTAGGAATCATAATGAAATGTAGTGAGACGCTCGATTGTGCTTGAACTAACACCACTACAGTAACTCTAATATCTGAAGAGGTGCTATTTTGAATAGTTGACTGTATGGCGACGGACAGGACGCGTAATCGAAGTTCAGCATCGGGAAATGCGACAAGCCACTGGTTTTCACGTCGAAGTACATTGACGTTGAAGTCCCCAGTGACTATCACCGGCACAATTCGTTGGCACACCTCACGAAGTTGTGCAGCAAGTAATTCAGGACGCCAGTCTGCAAGGTTGCTGGTGAGGTGTAGACTGTTGCGACGACGAAGCCATGTGATGTTTTAACGGCGCAAGCGGTACCAGAACTCATCTAGCGCAGCGAAGGAAGCATGTATGGCTTGTTACAACGAAGTATATGCTTTGCTCAGAATGTTTCTTTTGAATGTCCGTTGGCAGTAAGCCAGTGGTAAACGGCAGTTAGTACATAGCTCGCCGTTAGTGAGAACAGTATAGAGCAGCATGGCCCAGTTGTCATATATATATATATATATATATATTATATATATATATATATATATATATATATATATATATATATATATATATATATATATATATTATAGGCAGGCATGGTGATTGAGTGGCCGTAGCGTTGCATATAGTCCAATAGATCCTCCGTGAGCGGTCACAACGTGGTTTATTTCGACGTTTCGGCCTAGAGTCTGGCCTTCATCAGGATTAAAGGTACAGTTTGTTGGTGCTCAGCTTTATACAATCTCAAATCAGAGGGAAAGGAAAGAGGAAAAAGACAGAAAAAAATAAAAAGAAAGAAAAAAAAAGAAAAAAGAGAAAAAGAATATAAGGTGGACTGCCTTCAGGCGCCCCCTTCACCCTTCCTTCCACTTCCCCCTTCATCTCTCCCCTTTCTCCCCTTCACCTTTCTGATCTGATGTCAGTGAAAGGAAGCATACACAAACCACTGACATCAGAAAAGTGAATGGGAGAAAGGATATATATATATATATATATATATATATATATATATATATATATATATATATAAGATCGAACAGACAATAATGCCAAGTGAGGTATATAGGGGAAGTTATTAGACCAATTGTAATGTGAATGTAAGAAAGAACAGTGGGTGAAAATATAACTTGCCGTGAGCAAAAATCGGTCGCACATTCGGTTCCTGCTCACGACTTTTGAACAGCACACTGAGCAGCTTGAGGCGGTTCTTCTGGCTATTCGCACTGCCGGCCTCTCTCTGAAACCAGAAAAGTGTTTTTTGGATATGAGGAACTCAAATTCCTGGCCACATTGTCAGACCCGATCCTGAGAAGGCTATGGCAGTTGCTTTGTTGCCGATACCGAGAAGAAAGCATGATGTATGCCGCTTTCTGGGACATTGTGCTTATTACCGCCACTTCGTGCCAAACTTTTCGAAAATCGGCGACCCTCTACAACAACTCGTAAAGGACGACGTCACCTTCGTCTGGGGCCCCAAACTATCCCACGCTTTCCTCGACCTTCAACAAGGCCTACAAACACCACCGATCCTAGGTCACTTCGACACCGAAGCAGACACAGAAGTCCGCGCTGACGCGAGCAACCTTGGCCTCGGAGCTATTCTCGTGCAATATCAAGATGGCATGGAACACGTCATCGCCTACGCTAGACGCACGTTGTCATCTGCGGAGAAGAACTACTCGATGACTGAAAAAGGATGTCTGACGGTTCTATGGGCCATAACGAACTTCAGGCCCTACTTGTACGGACGCCCCTTTCGAATCGTCAGTGACCACCACTCTCTCTGCTGGCTAGCAAATCTGAAAGATCCTTCAGGCCGTCTCGCAAGATGAAGGCTTCGGCCACAGGAATTGGATATAACGATGTTTTGCAAGTCTGGCCAGAAACACACCGACGCTGACTGCCTTTCCCGCACACCCGTCGTAGTCGCTGCAAAAGACAAGGATGAAGACTTCAGCTGCATTGCTATTTTCGCATCATTAAACGTGACTGAGCAGCGACGCGAAGACTTAGAATCAGAACCACTGATCGAATACCTTGAGGGACGTAGCCCACAACCCCCACGTCAGTTCGCGTGTGACTTGTCATCTTTCTGTCTACGCCAAGACATCCTCTACAAGCGCAACTTTCATCCAACGAAAACTGTTTACCTCCTCGTCGTTCCTGCTGCTCTCCGCGATGATATTTTGCGTGCTTGTCACGACGAGCCAGTCGTCAGGGCATCTTGGCTTCGCGCGTACTCTGAAGCGAATCAAGGACAAATACTACTGGCGGAAACTTACGAAAACCGTACGGCAGTATGTCAAGACATGCACAGCCTGTCAGTGTCGCAAAAATTCAACGACGAAACCAGCCGGTCTGCTTCAGCCTTTGCGACCCCCTCACGCACCTTTGAAAAGGTCGGGATGGATTTACTCGGCCCATTTCCCGAAAGGTACGGCTGGTAACCACTGGATTGTAGTTGCCACCGACTACTTGACCAAATACTGCGAAACACAAGCCGCCCAGCGAGCAACTGCTTCCGAGGTGGCTGACTTTTTCCTCAAGAACATCGTTCTCCGCCGTGGTGCTCCGGCTGTCGTCATCACAGATTTTGGTACTGCTTTTACGGCACAGTTGCTCCGAGAGATCCTGTTTGCTGAGCGGCACGACGCACCGAACATCAACTGCATACCACCCGCAGACTAAAGGGTTAACCGAACGCCTTAGCAAAAAGATTTCAGATATGCTTTCGATGTATGTCGCCAAGGATCAGATGAATTGGGATGAAATCATCCCGTATATAACATTTGCCTACAATACGGCCTTGCCGGAAACCACCGGCTTTGCTCCTTTTCGTCTGGTTTACGGCCGCGACCACCAATTCTGCCGGACACGATTACCCCGGACGCAGATGTATTTCTTCAGCGTGCCGAAGACAGCCGGCCGCTGGCGCGCTTTCGCATTTTATCGCGGCAAAATCAAGATGCTCGCTGGTACAACATCCACCACAGAGCAATAATATACGAACCCGGTGACCTAGTCTGCGTTTGGACTCCTATACGTCAACGTGGACGCTCCGAAAAATTGCCATGTCGGTACTTCGGACTCTACCGAGTTCTTCATCGCCTCGGCGAAGAGAACTACGCAGTTGTCCCAGCAGACTCATCACACCGTTCTCGTAGACCACGCTCCTCGGATGTGGTTCACGTCTCCAGGATGAAGCTTTACCTATTCGCGTTCACTGCAAGTCAATAACTTTGTGATTTGGTAATAGCCTTCAAGGTAATTGTACATCTCCTTCTTGCTTTATTTTTCATCTCGTCCTTTTTCTCTTCAATGTACACAGACTATTTTAACTACCTTTTGTTTTGTTTTTTGGAGTCGCGGCATTCATGTGATGGTTCTTTTTTTCTTTGGGGGGGGGGGGGGGGAGGGTAATGCCACGCTTGTGTTGGTGGCAGAAGACGAGAGCGAAGAAGTGAATGGCAGCAGTGGCTGAGTAAACAGTCCTTCACTTCGAGTGTCTATCTATCGTTTCTTCCCGCGACAATATATACTGTAATAAAGAATGGAGACAGTCGAAACTGTTATCCGAGACCAGGTAGGAGCGTAGGCCTAGATAGCGAAATCAGCGACAGTCCAGGTCGAG